GGAATTAGAGAGGGACTGAGCCAGAGTCCAACTCTAAAACCAGCTCTATAAATTTAGAAATATGATTTAGTATATTTTACTTACAGAACCTATTCAGTTTTTTTGATAGTCCTTATTGTGCCATTATTTTCCGTCTGTCCTGTTCATCAGAGTCTATGATTTCCTCAATCTTATTAAATCTGCTCACCATTGCCTTTTGTAAGTCCTGAATCTCCTGTCCAGTATTATGCTCCAAAGCCTTCATTAACGATTCTAAGGCATGGAGCTTGTCCGTCAGAGACACGATATCCTCCTTGGACATAATCCTCATGGCATGTACTGTGCCTTCTTGTATGGAAATCCTGTCAATTAATCTATCATACCCTTTTGATAAAGTCCGATTTTCACATTCAATGGTTATAATCCTCTCAGCTAATGTTTCAGCACTTACAGTCATGGACTGGAGGTTATGCGTCATTTTGGTTGTCCCCTCCTCCAGGGCAGTGACGCTCCCTTCTAAAGAAGCAATATCAGACTGTACCTTCTTGATATTTTGGCCAGTTGACCGAGTCATATCAAACAAAGATCTATTCTCCTCCTTGAGAACTCCAAACTCTGATCTAGTCTCCTGCTTGAAAACTCCAAACTCTGATCTAGTTTCCTCCTTGAAATCTCCAAACTCTTTTTTGAGGAGGTTGGTATCAGTCTGAATTGTTCTTAAGGTTTTAATCTCTGCCCTCAGCATTGTAGATTCAGTCTGTAAGGACTGTATCTTTCTTATAAAATAGCCAAACACCAGAAAAGCAACAGATCCCAGGAATAACAAAGTAAGAGGAATATCTGAGACATCCTTCAGAATATCCTCCATAGCGCAACTGAAAAAACCATTGAACTTTTGGATAGTAATATTTTCCGACATTTTCAATCAAAGGAAATTGTACTTGTATGTATGTATGTATGTATTTATTTTCAACCGAAAAGAAAAATCTTACCTGTAATGACCGTTGCCTGCCAGTAGGAGGTGGGGCACACCTGAATCCACGTGGCAGTGGTGTTGATTGAGGAAGTAAACTCTAGAATATATACACTCAAATCCAGAGGTTAAATCCACAGATCACAAAAGGTCAGAGAGCTTATAGTGGCCAATAAACAAGGCAATAAACAAGGCCCTGCTGCTCTGTTCAACCGGATGCAGAGGGTCGTGACACAGCCACTGCGCTGTTGCTAAAGAGGCCTAGTGCTTTGGGCCCCGTGTCCCTGTGCTGGGATTAAGGGTCAAGCTGCTTGCAGCACTCCTAATCAGTTATGGCGGATGGCAGGGGTTTCAAACAGCTTGCTGGAACTTCAAAAGGAGCTTGCGCTGTGAGCTCTTTGACTCACGTTGCAAGGAGAAATTTAAAAATCCGTGCCGAACAGGGCAAAGTAAGCCGGCAGAGACTGTCCGGACCTGTGTATCCTGGGAGGCCGAGCTGGGGGTGGGGGGGGTGGGGCGGTTCTTAAACCAAACGTTGGGCGTCAATTATCGGCGAATCAATCCCACACCAGTTATGTTTTAAGGGGTTATTTATTTTGGGGGGTAAAACTTACATACACCATAAACCGTCAGGAAGGGAGCCTAGTCGCAGGAGCCGGGAGCAGGAGCCAGGAGCAAGCACCGGAACCAAGAGCCGGAACCAAGAGGGCCTATTCCGGATATGCTTCTCTTTTTAAAAGAGAAATATACCACGCCCCAGTGGGCTGGTATTTCAGCAGCTATTGGCTGACGGAGCGGAAGTCGCTCCCCGCTGCACTGTGGGCTCGTATTTCAGCGACTATTGGTTGAGGCAGCGGAAGTTACTCCCACAACAGTCAGGGGTGTCTCTGAATGGAGGCCTGGAGAAACCATTGCATGAGGCTGTGAAGCTGAAGACCAGATTGCTTTGGAGAACTTAAGATGCTAGAGATGCCAGAGTCCTGCAGTACCTGCTGAGGAGAGCTGCTAACAGGGAGTGGAACCAGCACAAGGGGAAGAAGTGTTTTAGTCAACAAAGTAGAGCAGAGTTGGAGATGTGGAAAGCGTTTTGACATCGGATATGGAGATGTAGTTTGGAGTTTTCCCAGTTGGTTTCCAGTCTCGCGTTGGTCCAGTATTTCCTCGCTATGCTCCCTTCCCAGCATTTTGGAATGATGATGTATATCGTGTGCCTTATATGTTGGACATATGTGATCTGTTTTTTATTTGTTTTTTACAGGAGATTACAGTTAAGAAATTACATGAAACTCAGAAGAGACTTTGAACTTTGGACTTTTTTATCTTGTTGAGACTGTGATAGACCATGGAGACTTTTGAAGTTGGACTGACACGTTTTGAATTATGATATTGTTACAAGCTTATGGGGGCCAGAGAGTGAAATGTGGTAGTTTGAATGTAATTGGCTCCCAATAATCTCATAGGGATTAATAGGAGATGTGGATTTGTTGGGGTGGGTGTGGCCCTGTTGGAGGAAATGTGTCACTGTGGAAGCGGGCCTTAAGATTTCCTAAGCTCAAGATACCACCCAGTGAGTCAGTCAACTTCCTCTTGCTTGCAAGATGTAACACTCTTAGCTCCAGCACCACGTCTGCCTGCACACCATCACGATGATAATGGGCTGAACCTCTGAAGCTGTAAGCGAGCCCCTTCACTTAAATGTTTTCTTTATGAGAGTTGCTGTGGTCATGGTGTCTCTTCACAGAAATTAAAAACCCTAACTAAGACACCAAACTAACCTCAAACTCACAGAGATCCATCCACCTGTCTTGGCCACCCAAGGTCATTCCCAACACTGGGCCCTCAAAACTTTTTTTAAACAGGGTCTCTCTTTGTAGTCCTGGCTGCCCTGAAGTTTACTATGTACACCAGACCAGCCTTGAACCCACAGAGATTCTCCTGCCTCTGCTTCCCAAGTACTGGGATTAAAGGCGTGCAACTCCACATCCAGCCCTCAAAACTTTAAAACAGTGGTTACCCCAGTGGATTAGGAGGAAAAAATGGGGATTGATAAGTCAAAGGCTACGAAGTAACAGACAAGTTCTACTGGTCTAGACATCCAATACAGAACGTGAAGACTATAGTTAATAATATACTGTATTCAAATGAGTAGATCTTTAGCTACTCTCATCATACCAAAAGAAGAAACCCTGTGAAATGATGGGCGTGTCAACTTGCTTCAGTACAGTAGCCATTTCACTATCTAGATGTATCACATAACATATGTTGTATATCTTACTTTACACAATCAAATTTACACTGTGGATTAGGGAGACAGAGAACCCTAAAAGAAAAGCCTCCAAGGATTCAGTCACCCCCCATCAGACTCCAAGCTAAGAAGCCTTCAACTGACCCTGTGTCCCCAGAGCCAGGGTGCCCAGAGAAGGGAGTGCAGCTCTCACATCACGAGGCCAGAGTCAGTTCTGGGGGTGGGGGCCTCAGAGCCAGAGCCAAGCTAGAATGAAGTTGCTCAGGAACAGAGTGAGGTAAAAATAGGCTGCGAACAGAGTGAGGTGAAAATCTCTTCTGCTGTTGGTAGAATGTACCTGAGTTTGTCGCTCACTGTTTCAATGCAGTCCACACCTATCTTAAAAAGAGGAACACAGTTTTCCATTTCAGAACATACAGAATCATGAGCCATGTTTGCAACTGCCACAGCTGATGTCAAGTCCATCTATAAACTGTGTGTCCCACGCAGGCCAATCAGACATTGGAGAGACAGAGAACTAAATGTCTTCCTTTTTCATTCTGCAGATATATTTAAAATGAAGAAATGACAGCGAGGAGTCACTCAGTAATGTACTTTTGATGTTTATTTCCAACCAACCAAAAACAAATATTTTTGTTTAAAAAAATGTTTTTAGACAGAGTCTCACTATGTAACCATGACTGGCCTGGTATTAGCTATATAAACCAGGCTAGCCTCAAACTCATAGAGATCCATCTGCTTCTTAAATTTTATGTGTACATTTCTGTGTGCACGTATGTGTGTCTGTGCATGTATGTGTGTGCATGTGCGTGGGGGTGAATCCCACATGTGTGTGGATGCCCACAGAAGTCAGAAGAAAGAGTTGAATCCTGTGAGGTTACAGATAGCTGTGAGCGGCCCTGTGAGCATGCTGGGAACCAAACTGGAGTCTTCTGCTAAGCCATCTCTCCAGTTACCCAGCCAAAATTTGTTTTGTTTGATTTTTGAGATAAGGTCTCATTCTTTAGCTCTGGTTGGCCTAGAACTCTCTGTGTAGACGAAGTTGGCCTCTGCAGCCAAATTTTTAATACAACCAATAAATACATGGTGGTTAATCTTCATTATCAACTTCAATGAATTTAAGATCTGTTGAAACACGTCTCTAATTTGTTTATGGAAAATGTTCCAGAAAAGTTTAACTAAAGAAGGAAGTTCCACCCTGAGTGTGGGTGACATCATCCCATGGACTGGAGTCCCTGAGTGTGGGTGACATCACCCTATGGACTGAGACCCTGAGTGTGGATGACATCTTGGGTGACATCACCAATGGACTGGGGTCCCTGAGTGTGGGTGACATCACCCATGGACTGGAGTCCCTGAGTGTGGGTGACACCCTCCCATGGACTAGGGTCCCTGAGTGTGGGTGACATCATCCCAAGGACTAGGGTCCCTGAGTGTGGGTGACATCATTCCATGGACTGGGGTCCCTGAGTGTGGGTGACATCACCCATGGACTGGGGTCCCTGAGTGTGGGTGACATCACCCATGGACTAGGGTCCCTGAGTGTGAGTGACACCATCCCATGGACTAGGGTCCCTGAGTGTGGGTGACATCATCTGTCAGGAGCACCATGTTGAGAAGCCATCTATTGTAGCCACACATTGCTATGACATCTATCAGGGTTCAGCCTTGATGGGTTCATATGTTCCAGGACAGGGGTGTGTGGATTAGAAATGTCAGGCAGAATAAACAGAGATACCAAAGAAATACAGAGACATAGAATAGTACTGGGAGGGCAGTCCAGGGATTACTGAATCGCCCATGTTTATTTCTTATGATCTTTAAACACCCCAATCCACTAGAGGGGAAGAAAGCGAAAGACTTTTTTTATCTTGTTACAAGGAGCAAAATGATTACCATCTTAAAACCCAAAACACCAAATAACCACACCCTAGGCCAAGACTTCCTGTTAGTAGCCACACCTTAAGTTAAATCTTCTGTCAATAACCTTGAAAGAGCAAGACTAGGCCTGAACTATCTGACCTTTAGTCAAGGTGAAATGGATCCACTTCTGTGGGCCCCCACAGTCATCCCGTGGGCAGGGGCTCCTGAGTGTGGGTGACATCATCCCGTGGGCGGGGTCCCTGTCTGAATTAAAAGGAGAAAGAGGATGTTGAACACCAGTGTTTGTCTCTGCTTCCTGACTGTGGACACCATGTGAACAGTTGCCTTTCCCCATATACTGAATCTTCTCTTTCTTAGATCGTGAGCCAGAGCCAATCCTTCCTTAAGCTGTTTGTGATGAACGTTCTGTCACAATGAGAGAGTAACTAATATGAAATTCCAGGCTAATGTGTCTTTATTAATTTTAGCAGAGCTACCTGAGGCCCTTCGTGAGCACAGGCCCAGGTGTCCTTTCCATCCCTCATATTAAGATGATCTCTCCTCCCTTCCTCGCTGGGGAATTCTTTGCTCTGCTATAAGGAGAAAAGAGTTAGAATTCGGGTAAATTAGCTTCATTCTTTCCTGCCAGGATAGTTTCAGACCAATGGTTCAATGCTGGATTCTCCTAGCAAACTTGTGGGGAGTGGGGAAGTGTGTCCTTACTCACTCTCAACCCTGTCTCTGTTGGAGCCCTGCTTCCAATTTCAGGCCTGGAACAAGCCTTCCCTTTACACTGCTCCTTTCTTGTCTGGCCCAGGGAACGATTACAAAGTACTTTAAAATGAGACCAGAAGTTATACTCTTTGGGGCTAAAGAGATTGCCCAGAGGTTCAGAGCACTGGCTTCTCTTCCAGAGGTCCTGAGTTCAAGTCCCAACGACTACATGGTGGTTCACAACCATCCGTGATGAGATCTAGTGTCCTCTTCTGGTCTTCATGATGGCCTTCATGCATACATGCATAAATCTTAAAACACACACACACACACACACACACACACACACACACACACACACACAGTTGCAGTCTTCTCTACCCAACTCATTCCCTGCATCACACCCGCAAAGGAACCCTGGCACATCTGGGTGTTTTAAAAGAAAGGAGTTTCACATAGACCGTTCAAGTCCAGATTTTGGCCAAATCATACCAGAACTTTCTCTGTCTGGATTTCATCAGATCCTAATGGGGGAGGAGCTACCTCCAGTTCCACATTTGACGCAGACAGACATTGTGTGTTGCAGCCAATCCACCTAAGAAGCAAACATACCACATCATAGCATGGATTAATTTTTCACCCAAGTCAATAACACTTAGTTTTATATTAAGAAATCTTGTATCATCCCCTTTTTTGTTTTTGTTTCTCAAGACAGTTTCTCTGTGTAGCCTTGGCTTTCCTTGATCTCACTCTGCAGATCAGGCTGGCCTCAGAGATCCACCTGCCTCTGTCTCCTGACTGCTGGGATTACAGGCATGAGCCACCACAGCCCAGTTCTACAAATCCTGTATCATTCTTGATATTAAAAGTGTACCCTTATTCCTTGCAGGATACTGACTCTAATGTCATTGCATTGAGGACTCTTTGGCTGAGCTTGGTTAGGGATTGTTGGTCTTTCAGGGGCTTCCAGGCCATAGGTGCAAACTCCAATCCATTCTCTCTCTCTCTCTCTCTCTCTCTCTCTCTCTCTCTCTCTCTCTCTCCCTCTTGAAAATGGGTTATATCATATCTTAACAACGTACATCATATCTTGTGACTTCAATTATTTTTGTGGGGAATAACAAAACATCATCTTAAAACACAAAAGATCAGCAGGCAGGAGTCACACACTGAGCACACATGTATCTAACACGAGAAGCATGCAGAGTGTGAGAGCCATGATCTCTTCAGTCACTCTTCCTCGTGCTCCCTGCGAGGAAACTTAGAAGCTAATGCAGGGCAGTTTAGCATCCACCCTTTTGAAATGTGCAAGTATTGCCTTGGATTACAAGAATGATATTTGCTCTAGCTGTTTGCAGACCCTGCCTGACCTTTACCCTGGTCCTGAACCTTGCCCCATTCCTGGCGCTCACTGATCCCTGACCCTCCAAGTTGAGAGCCCCGCCCCAGTCCCTGCCCAAGTCCACATTTGCCTTATGAGATTTCTGGCCTGACCTTTGCTCACTGGCCAGGCCTCTCCTACCATTCCTTCTAGGAGGTTCAGCTTCTGCAGATCCTAGCCTGCCTAATCTCGGCTAGATTTAACTTGAACCCCAAAACTAAAAGGAGAGTGTGAGGAACGGATGGGCAGTAACAGGAGACGTGGGCAGAGGCCATCACTTGCATGGCTCTATGAGCAGCAGAGAGGAACTCAGGCATGTGTTAAAGACAGAGGAAATTCACAAGACAGTGACTAGAAGAAAGGGTGGAAGCGAAGAAGTCAGTCACAAGGCAATTAGGGTATGCCAGCCAGGAGAGGGTCATGGTCTGGTTGTGGGGCCCAGGGCAGCCTGACCACACATAATGTCTGGCCACACAGCTGCCATAGCAGGCAGCACCGGGTTCCAGAAAAAGTCATCAGCTGACACCACGCAGGGACAGCCAGCATTGAAGAGGAGTACCTGACGTTCCAACCATTAGATAAGATCACCAGATGTCCCTGAGTCCAGGACTCACCTAGTCCCCTTTTGCCAAAACCTCTAGACAGATGCTAGTCAATCAGGGTCCTGAACCCCGGAAATCCCCTCACCCCAACCTCTACTATGATATTAAAACAAAACAAAACAAAACACCTCACCTGGGCTTGGCACTCTCCGCTCTCGACTTCTGTGTCGGACAGACAGAGTCCAAGCTTAAACTGGAATAAAGGCTCTTGGCTTTGACATACAGGACTCGGTCTCCTAGTTGGTTTTGGAGGGACTCTATGATCTGGGCATAACACTGGTAAGGTCATGCCAGCAGAGATAAAAGAAGTGTGTGACATTACCAAGTCAGGAAAGAGAGCAGACAGGGCTTAGGGCCGCTAACACATGTGGAACTGGGGGACAAAGAAAATATGAGTCCTGTCACTACTTCCCGAGTATTGGGCCGTAATCGTGTGCCATACTACACACGATTTAAGCAGGACTGGGGTTGAAACACAGGGTGTTGCACATTCTAACTTAGCAAACACCACAACCGAGCTACCTCCTCAGATCAAACCTGCATGTGAGTTTTATTCAATTTATCTTCGTTTATTTAATTACACATCTTTAAGAATACAAAGTAGGATACACGCAGCCACCCCCCACGGCATCTGTGGTCACCGGATCCTTGGCCCTGACTGACTCTGGAGAGAGACTTAGCCCCGCCTATACCTGGTGGAGCCCCAGAGCCCTTTCAGCAGCCACTGGAGGCGTGGGCCTGCCTGCATGTGGAGGAAGAGTGTGACCACCTAAGCCACAGGCCCCACCTTCACCAATGGAGAAAGACATGGGCAGACGGCAGTGTAAGAACACATTCAGTAACATAAAGAGCAATATGGCACCACCAGAACCCAATGGCCCTAAAACAGGAAGACCTGAACATCCTAACCCAGAAGCGGCATGTAACATGGAAGGCCTGCTTGTTGGGGTTTCTGTCTTGCCCAGTTCCTGCAGCCGGTAAGCCCCAAAGAAAAAAGCACAGAGAGTCTTGCATTATTTATAAACTAATTGGCCCATTAGCTCAGGCTTCTTATTAGTTCTTGTAGCTTATATTAACCCATTGCTCTTATCTATATTAGCCACATGGCTCGGTACCTTTCACAGAGGGGCAGGTCACATGCTGCTTATCGGTGATCTGGGCAGGAATGGGAGGAATGGGCTTCCTCCTTCCTAGCATTCTCCTGTTCTCAGGGCCCCACCTCTACTTCCTGTCTGGTTGACCCACCTATACTTCCTGCCTGGCCAATCTGCATTTATTCAAAATAAACAGATGGACAGAATACAGACAATTCTCCTGCACCAGCAGCAGAAGAAAATGACCTTAAATATTATTTTATGAAGATGATAGAGACCCTTAGAGAGGAAATGAAAAATTTCCTTAAAGAAATGGAGGAATAGACAAACAAAAAATTGGAAGAAATGAATAAATCTCTTAAAGAAAGCCAAGTAAACCAAGAAAAAAATCAAAACAGGTGAAACAAACAGTTTAAACTGTTCAAGATTTGAAAATTGAAACAGAGGCAATAAAGAAAACACAAACCAAGAAAATTCTGGAAATGGAAAATCTGAGTAAACGAACAGTAACTTCAGATGCATGCATAACCAACAGAGTACAAGAGATGGAAGAGAAAATCTCAGGAGTTGAAGAAACGGTAGAAGAAATAGATTCATCAGTCAAATAAAATGTTAAATCCAACAAATCCTTAACACAAAACATCCAGGAAATCTGGGACACCATGAAAAGACCAAACCTAAAAGTAATAGAAATAGAAGGAGAAGAACTCCAGCTCTAAAGCACAGAAAATATATTCAACAAAATCACAGAAGAAAACTTTCCCAACCCAAATAAATATATGCCTACGAAGGTACAGGAAACTTACAAAACACCGAATAGACTGGACCAGAAAAAAAGTCCCCTCGCCATATAACAATCAAAACATTAAACACACAGAATAAAGAAAAATTATTAAGAGTTGCAAAGGAAAAACTCTGAAAACCAGGAAGTCCTAGATGGGTGTGCTGCAGACATGAAGAGACCATGGTGCAAGCCCAGACTGCTATACCTACCATAGATGGAGAAAACAAGATATTCCATGACAAAACCAGATTTAAACAATATCTATCCACAAATCTAGTCTTACAGAAAGTACTAGAAGAAAAACTCTAACCCAAGGAAGCTAACTGCACCCACAAAAACACCAGCAACAGATAACCTCACACCAACAAACCCCAAAGAATGGGAAATGACAACCACTACCAGTAAAAGAACAAACAGGAATAAACAATCACTGATCAATAATTCTCTTAATATCAATGATCTCAATTCACCTATAAAAAGACACAGGATAACAGTATGGATACAAAATCATGATCCATCCTTCTGCTGCATACAAGAAACACACCTGAACCTCAAAGACAGACATTACCTCAGAGTAAAGTGTTGGAAAAAGATTTTCCAATCAAATAAACCTAAGAAACAAGCGAGTGTAGCTATCCTAATATCTAATCAAACAGACTTCAAACTAAAATCAATCAGAGGAGATGGAGAAAGACACTTCATACTCATCACAGGAACAATCCATCAAGATGAAGTCTCAATCCTGAACATCTGTGCCCCAAATACAAGAGCACCCACATATGTAAAAGAAACATTACTAAAGTTTAAATTTCATATCAAATCCCACACACTAATAGTAGGAGACTTCAACACACCACTCTCACCACTGGACAGGTCAGTCAGATGGAAACTTAACAGAGAAATAAGAAAACTAACTGAATGTCATGACTCAAATGAACTTAATAGACATCTATAAAACATTTCACCCAAACACAAAAGAATATACCTTCTTCTTCTTAGTACTTCAAGGAACATTCTCTAAAATTGACCACATACTCAGTTACAAAGCAATCCTCAACATATATTTTTAAAAAAATTGGAGTAACCCCTATATCTTACCAGATCACCATGGCTTAAAGTTAGAATTCAACAACACTGGTTGCAGAAAACCAACAAGATCATGGAAAATGAACAATACTTAGCTAAATCACCCGAGGGTCAAGGAAGAAATAAGGAAATTAAAGACTTCCTCCTGAGCCTGTGACCTCCACTATAGCAGGCCCAAGACAGCAACCTCAGCAGAAGCAGGCCCCGAGCAAGTGGCCTCTGTGGGAGCAGTCCCAAACAACCCCTGGGAGTACGGAGAAAACTCTGGGAATATCGAGTGACCTCTGGGGTGACTAGAACCATGGCACTGACTGCACCATGAGAAACAAACATCTGAGCCTTGGATCAACTGGCACCTGGAACACTGATCACCAGAGATACAGCTCCAACTACACCAATCAGAGGAAAAGATGAGTAGAAAAGGTAAGAACACATTCACCACCACAAAGAGCAACACAACCCCAACAAAAACTAATGTCTCTATAACATCAAGACTTGAACACCCCAATATAAATGAAACAGAAGAAAGTGACCTAAAAAATAACTGTAGGAAAATGTTTGAGGCTCTTAAAGAGGAAATTAAAAAATTTCCTCAAAGAGATGGAGGAAAAGACAAAAAAAAAATATTGGAAGAAATCAACAAATCCC